TCTCGCTCTCTCCTCGTGTTCGAGGCGGTCGTCTACACACACTGCCTGCCGCCGCCATTTTTCCTGACCGCTCTGCTGCTCGCTGCCGCCCGTCCCCGCTGCTGGGAGCCGCCCGCCTCTGCCGCCTGCCTGCCCGCCGCCGCTGCTGCCAAAAGTCCCAGCGCCGCCTGAAACCGCCGCGTTTCCAGGGTCTGCAAACAGCCGCGCCGCAGCTACGGGGGTGGGGGGGGGCGACCTGCGCTTGGAGTGCCTGCAGCCTCTTTGCTACCCAGCTCATCCTACCTGCACTGCCACGTGGTGAGACAATTCCGGCTACCCCAGCTTATAGGGGAAAATATAATCCAGCCATTCGGGCAAATCCCTCCCCTCTGCTTCCCTCACTTGAATAAGATGTGTAACTAAGGTGTACCCATATATGTTTAATGTGTTGTAATCACTCCTTTTGAACCTCCTTCCCCAAATTGCTTTGTTTTCCCCACAATAAACCTTGCTGTTGTTAGAAATATTAGTAAGCACTGAGCAGGTTATTCACTCAAAAAAGTCGGGACATAAGTTCCTGTATCCTCTGTGTGAGGCGATACCCACGTGTGGATCTCTCAGCAAATCCTGATAAGTTAATACACTCCAATAAGGAGATATAATAGGTCACGGATCGTGACAGTATGCAATGCTTTTTTTGCCTCAGTTTTGGTGACAAGATGTGGCCTCAGATCTTTGATGTCCCTAATCTTTGTAAGCATACTCTATGAAACTCCCATTAACCACAGCAGCAGAGAAAGTTAATGACCACTTAGAAAACTAATCATGCATGGGTCCATAGGAACAAACTGGATGCTTCCAAAGGTGCTGAGGGACCTGGCTGGTGTTACTGCAACGAGCATTTATCCAGTTTAAAAATTAGAGCCATTGTTCGAGGTTTCTTATGACTAGAAAAAGGATTATCTTCAAGAAGGCAAGGATTTTGAGAACTCAGGGTTTGATACTATTTAAAGATCTGGATATGCAAAGTGTGCTTTCTCTGCAAGTTCACAGATGATACCTAGTAGGAAAGTTTGATATGCTGGACTGCAGAGTTGCTATTCAAAGCTATTTCCAACTGCTGGAAACAGAAACTTCATGAAGTTTCACAAAGGCATGGACTGGCTAGGAAGCAACTTTGCAGAAAAGAACATGGAGATCCTCGTGGGCAGAAACCTGAACACAGGACAGCTGCAAACTGGGTTGCACCAGTAAGACTGGCCAGCCAGTCTTCCTCTTTATCTGACAGCCCTGAGATCACACTTCACAGTTTTGAGTTCCCCATTACATGGAAAACACTGAAATAGCGAAGCAAGTTCAATGGAGGGCCACCAAAACGACTGGGAGGCTGAAGCACATGACATACACAGAGAAGATGAGAAACCTTGTTTTTTTCAGTCTTAAGAAGATAAGGTTAAGGGAGTAGGAGAAAACTTATTCCTGTCTAATTGGAGGATGCTGAGCCAATTCTTTCCAGAGGATCACAATGATAGGACAAGAAAAAATGTATATAAATTGCAAACCAGTAAAATCCATTTAGATATAAGTAATTACTACTCTGTGACTACGTTGTGCAGGGCACTGGCAACTACAATAATGGCTGGTAATGTTGCAGAGCTGACAAGCTTCATTTGTGCCAGTGTGGACAGTCTACATGACTCGTAATGGGGAGAGATCAGTCTTGTGAGATGGGCAGTGAGATGGGCATGATCCTAAAGGTCACTGCAAGCATACCATGCTAACAAGCATTTATTGCTGTGGTTGCATTCTTGACAATGTTCAAGATGTCCAATACCACAAATAAGAGACAGAGAAGCCAAGAAGATTCACTGTTCTGTTTTTCTTATCTCCGGACTGGAACACCTGACTTCACCTCTGGAACACCTGGAACTCACCTGACCTCAAAAAATTTTTTTTCAAAATAATTTTCAATGAGTTCAGAAGCCCCACTGAGTATGACTTGATGATCCTGCATATATGCTCTTAGAGATAAGGTGTGCAATGTCACTTTCCTCTGAAATATTTTGTAAACCTCTTTTAAATCAAAAGCAAACAAATGTGAAGGTCCAGTAGCACAAGGAATATGAATTCTAAATACTACTTAAGTAGGAGAGAAAATAAATATACTTCTCCACACTGATCCAAAGCAGCAGTTTAAGACGCTTTAAAAAAATCTAAACCAGGAAAGTTGTCCAAGACAGAGAAACTCATCTACCTATCAGTGTGTACACCTGGAACACAGCAGAGAAGTCAAAATAAAATGAGTCAATACTGATGCATTTGCAACTAAAGAAAAGTGGAAGCCATGTAGAACAGCAAAATGGTTTAGCTGTCTAGATCTTGAGAGAAATACTTAAATAAGAACTTTTATTTTATGCCAATAAAAGAGAAAGCTTTGTAACTTTGCTAACAAACTGGCTGAACTTCTTCTGAGAGTAAGATAATTACAAAGAATGGCCCCTCTAAGAACACAACTTAAAACGAGGATAGGCTTCCACATTTACAAAATGCATCACACCAGAGACATGGTGTGCAAAAATGCAAGGTGCTGCAGACTAAAATATTGCACATGAGAACAGAAAATTTGAAGCAGCTTCCTTTTATGCAATTAGAGGCAACATATGGAACAATAAGTTTGGTCAGCAGGGAATCAAGAACTCCTAGGATACCACAGCAATGAACTGTGTCTTTCGTTACCATTAAAACTGATCTCACTCCAATTGTAAAAGAGCTTGAAGTTACTTAGTTATTGCTTGCAGTCAGTCTTCTTTTATTAGCAATTCATGCAACCTGCTTTATATACACTGTATCAAAACATGTGGTGAGATCAGAAAGTACTTAAGATCTCTTTACATATTTTAAAGTCTCCCCTGTGCCAAAAGTGCCCATTCATAGCAATGGGAGTGAGACAAAGACATCTAAAGGGACAACAGAAAATCTGTCACTATGTTAATGAGCCAGAGCACAATTTTTTCCCTAAAATTATTTGGTAGTCCAAATGTACTTGACAAATCTTACAGGATTAATAGGACTACCTGTACCATCCACATCAATTTGATAAAGCGAATATAATTACCTCAAGATACTCAGTGATCCATAAACTTTCAAATAATGAACTTCAGTGCTCAGGGTTGGATTTTTCATGAGATAAAAGCTGTGTAATAAAAAGTTACCATCTCATATTCCCTGTTTAGTCAAAATATGGCAGTCAAAAGCACACAGACAACGCTGTTTATCATAAAGTCCACAAAGACTGTTCATTTCCTCACGTAATTTTACTTTCTTATTTACATCAGAGGACTTTTGGATGGCAAAAAGTTTCTTTGGTCTGTATCTCCATGCTAGAGACTACCACATCTTATGTAAGATGCAATGCTGCTTGTTTGCCCAAATGAGAGTCTGGTTAGCACACACTTCCCTCCGACTGCTGATGCTCAGCATGAGATGGCATTATGCTGCATGAGTTACCGAAATGGCACTAAGCAAAGTTAGGGGGTGACTAAACTAAAAGCAATTAATAAAACAAAATATATTTAAAAGCAATACCACTGCAGATTAAGATTCCCTGCAAGGAAGCTTTCATTAGCCTTAGTTCTAACTGCTGGAAAAGGAAGACAAAACAACTAGTCCTCTGCTTTTCTCACATTACACCACCATGGTGGTGACAACGACTCTCCTGCTAACTTCATACAGTCTGCAAAAAACAGGTCTTACTTTGCTCCTGCCTCTATTCAGGACAGTAAGCATTTGCTTCATTCTAACATGTTAAGGCAGAACAACCAACTTGCTTTTACTAAAAGCAACACACAAATTAAATTAGAATGTAAGCACAAATTAAAACAGAACCAGGCTCTCACTTTTGAAGGCTGCTGAATTTTAATCTCCTGGGAGTCAGACGCAGAATCTGATTTGGTGCCTCCAGAATTTGGTTTCTCCTTTTTTCTCTTCTGCTTCTTTTTCTTCTTCTTCGCTCCCAAATCCCCTCCAGGACTTCTGCCAGAGATTCAGAGAATGTGAAAAAAAAAACACAACACATGAGTATCACCAAGCTTAAAATTCAAAAAATCTAAATATGGAAAACCTAGCATTTTAATATGAAATTCTAACAGCAGCTTGAATGTGAAGAAAAGTCAGGGGAAAGCAAGGAAGGAAGGAACTGGCAGCACTGATGAAAAACTTCCTGCAAGTGCTTTCTAATTTGTCATAGTCAGACCCCTGCACAACCAGGCATTTTGACACACCAGTGTCAACTTGTGACACTATGTAACAGGCAGTGCTCTTCTCCAGGCTGTATTACCTGGCACAAACTTGAAGCCAAATTCAACAAGAGTTTGAAAGAACTCGGGACTATGCAGAAACTGAGGAAAGCAACCTTTTTGGGAATTCAGTAACTGTTTGCAGGTGGACCTAATGATCTTAAAAGTCTTTTCAGCCTAAACTACTCTGTGATTCTATTAGTGGCCTAATATTTTTTCTCCGTCATGCTCAACCACTACGCACATCTAGATTTGAGAAGAATCCTAACAAATCATTCTGTTTTCAGGGAATTCTGTTTCTAACTTATGTTGCATGAAAGTCTTGCTGAAATCTCAGTAAGAAACAACACAAAACTAACCAAATGTTTGTGCTTTAAAACAGTAAGTACAATGGATCAACTTTAATTAAAAAACAAACAAACAAACAACAACAAAGTATACTCAGCACTTGCACATTCTGATACATGTTGACTATTGATAATACAACTCCTTTCTTCTTTAAGGAGATTCTAATTTGACACATAATCGAGATACAATATCAAGATTAGATTAGAATTTGAAAAATGTGGGAGGTGTTAGCAGCTCTCAGACAGAAGGCAAATAAGGAGGCAGTGAGTCAGATAACATTGAATCCTCTTCAAGATGTTAATCTCTCAGTAAAACTATACACACATAGTGGAGTCAAAGACAGATACTGGGGCTTGGGTGTTTTTCATTGGAAAAGAAAATAGTCAATGCAAAAAACAATTGTTTATTTTAATTCTGGAGGGGGGGGG